CATAGTGAAACTCTGTCTCAAAAAAAAAAAAAAAAAGAAAAGGTCCAGAATTCTGGTAAGGAATTGTTGCCTTTGGGCCTTTGGATGCTGGGAGCTCTCTGTAAGTAAGGATAGGAAGTATTGGGCCAACTGTTTCAGTCACTGATTCATTCACTGAATATTTATTCAGTGCCTACCTTTTGCAAGGCACCAAGGAAACAACCATGACAAAAACAAGCAAAGATACCTGCCCTTATGGAGCTTATAACCTGAGTGGGGAGACAGAAAAGAAACATATGAGTACCATGTAGTATGGCAGATAGGGAAATGCTCTGGAGAGGAATCAAGAAGGGAGGATACTGGGAGTGCTGAGGGGAATGTCAAGGAAGGCCTCTTTCATGAGTAACATGGAAGTGAGCCCTGAAGGAGGCGAGGGGAGCAGGGAAGGGAGGGAGCATTCCAGACTGCCTGCTAGCACTGTGTCCTAGATGCAGAATGGGATGGGAAGGGGTCAAGCTGGGGAGGTGAGGGCCAGAGATGCCAGGCCAGATCAGAGAAGGCCTCCTGGGCTGTTCCTGAGACTTTAGCTTTTAGAGAGACAAGTTAACCACTTGCAGAGTAGTTGACAGCATGGCCTATAGCACCAAACTGCGTGGGTGAGCGTTCCTGCTCTGCCTCTTAGTAGTTGTGAGATCTCAAAGTTTTTCTGCTCTGCACATGTTGCAAAAGACAGTGAAAATGCCGTGGATATTGATTTGGGGATTATAAATAATTTTTAGTGAGTAGGAAAATTTGTAGATCTGAGCTATGAATTTAAGAAGGACTGTTTATACTGAGTGTCTCTGGAAGTACATATTTATATTTGAACTGAAGTTTTTATGAGCCAGAACTTTATTTGATATACTGTATTTTCTGTTATTCATTTTTTTCAAACAAATGGTCTCCCATACTTATGCAGAGCATATAAACAAAAAGAGAAAACAATTTCTCAATAAAATATTTCCAACTTTCCGGATAGTGGTGACACTTTGAGCTTGATATGCATGATAAGATGACACTGACCTTAATGTAGCATAGACATGTGTGCCAGCTCATGTGCAGTTCTTTGTAGACCCTTTTTGGTTCTTCTCAGTGTCTCCTTGGAGCTATACCTGATTTTATGATCAGTTTTCATTCAAATCCATTGGGGAATTAGAAGATTTTGCTTTTGTTTCTGGGCTACAAATTGCTTGATCCTGAAAGTCTTATGAGAAGACATCGTGAGAAACAGAGTCAACTACACATGCCCTGATGACAGAGAAAGGGGGGAATGTGACAGAAAAATGTGGTTTTCTATTTCTTTCTCTTTTGTGCTTTCTCTCTTTCTTTACATTCGACAAGACTCTCATTCTGTTGTCCAGGCTAGAGTATCTGTGGCATTAGCCTAGCTGACAGCAGGCTCAAGCAAGCAGTCCTCCTGCCTGTTTCCCAAGTTGCTGGGACTATAGGTGCCCATAACACCTGGCTAGTGCTTGCTTTGGCAGCACATATACTAAAATTGGAACGATACAGGGAAGATTAGCAGGGCCCCTGCACAAGGTTGACACTCAAATTCTTGAAGTGTTCCCCCCCCCAAAAAAAAAAAACCTGGCTTTTTTTTTTTTTTTTTTTTGAGACACAGCCTCAAGCTGTTGCCCTAGGTAGTGCTGTGGCATCACAGCTCACAGCAACCTCCAACTCCTGGGCTCAAGTGATGCTCCTGCCTTCACCTCCCAAGCAGCTGGGCCCACAGGCACCCGCCACAACGCCTGGCTATTTTTTGGTTGCAGCCGTCATTTTTGTTTGGCGGGCCTAGGCTGGATTGGAACCCGCCAGTTGAGGTGTATGTGGCTAGCACCTTAGCTGCTTAAGCCACAGGCGCCCAGCCTTTTTTTGTTTTGTTTTGTTCTTTTTGTAGAGACAGAGTCTTGCTTTGTCACCCTCAGTAGAGTGTCATGGCGTCACATGGCTCACAGCAACCTCCAAGTCCTGGGATTAGGTGATTTTCTTGCCTCAGCCTCCTGAGTAGCTGGGACCATAGGTGCCTGCCACAACACCCGGCTATTTTTCTGTTGTAATGTGGGTGGGGCTGGGTTTGAACCTGCCACCCTCAGTATATGGGGCCAGCGCCCTACCCATTGAGCTACAGGTGCCACCCATGCCCTGTTACTTTTATTTTGTTATTTTATTTTTTGAGACATAATCTCACTTTGTTGCCCTCAGTAGGTACGGTGGTGTCACAGCTCACAGCAACCTCAAACTCTTGGGCTTAAGAGATTCTCTTGCCTCAGCCTCCCAAGTAGCTGGCACTACAGGTGGCTGCTACAACACCCTTCTATTTATTTATTTATTTTTTTGCAGGCCCTGGCCAGGTTTGAACCCACCAGCCCCAGAGCATGTGGTTAGTGCCCTAACCACTGAGGTATGGGTGCCACCCTGCCCTTCTATTTTTAGAGACGATGTCTTGCTCTGGGTCAGGCTGGTCTTGAACCTCTGAGCTCAGGCAGTCCACTTACCTCCACCTTCAAGTGCTAGGATTATAGGCATGAGCCACCTCACATGGCCTAATTGTTTTATTTTTAATAGGGACAGAGTTTTGCTCTTGCTCAGGCTAGTGTTGAACTCCTGAGCTCGGCTCGGCTCCTGTGGGTCAAGTGGCTTAGGTGCCAGCCACATACACCTAAGGTGGCGGGTTCAAATCCAGCCTGGGCCCGCCAAATAACAATGACGGCTGCAACCAAAAAATAGCTGGGCGTTGTGGCGGGCGCCTGTGGTCCCAGCTACTTGGGAGGCAGAGGCAGGAGACTCACTTGAGCCCAGGAGTTGGAGGTTGCTGTGAGCTGTGATGCCATGGCACTCTACCCAGGGTGAAAGCTTGAGGCTCTGTCTCAAACAAAAAAAAAAGAACTCCTGAGCTCAAGCATTTCCCCTCCTCATGGCCTCCAAGAGTGCTAGGATTACAAGTGTGAGCCACCATGCCTATTCACAGGCTGTAATGGGTTTCAGCCAACAGTTGGAAAAACAGGGTCAAGGTTTTAAAGCTGTGAAATTGGATGTGATAGATTCTGTATGGAAGGAGCTGTTGTTCTTCTTAAGGCTGACTCATGGGGCAGAAAGAAGCCTATCTCTGAGGAGTTAGAAATAGAAAGCACAGTTGAAGGGGACTGGCCCCCCCACCCCTTGGCTGGACTGGGCCTCTTACCAACATCTTGGTCCTGGCTCTCCCTCTAGGTGACCATCTTGGTGCTGCAGGGCCGGCTTGATGAGGCCCGACAGATGCTCTCCAAGGAAGCTGACACCAGCCCCACCTCTGCAGGCATGTGCCGAATCTTGGGGGACCTGATGAGGACAATGCCCATTCTCAGTGTATGTGGCAGCAGCCTTGTTCTGCTCAGTCTGGGGGATGGGCAATGTGGTAAGCATAAAAGGGTTTGGGTGGAATGGTGTCTTCATGACTAATTTTTCCCCTTAGCCTGGCAACACTCAGACACTCACAGAGCTGGAGCTGAAGTGGCAGCACTGGCATGAAGAATGTGAGCGGCACCTCCAGGATGGCACATTTGCCGCCAATCCTCACCTGGAGTCTCTCTGCAAGGTCTGTGGCCAGATTGGCTTCCCTTTGGGGCTGTGGCACCCAGCATAGCCATAGCAGGAGCTTGGTCTTCCTTGGATAGGGCTGTCACTGTGCTGCAAAGGAGAAAGAGCCTTCAGAGTCTAGTTGAAATCAAGTGCCCTAGCTGAGATTGGGGGTTCTAGAGAAGTTGCTCCTGAGAGGAGGACAGACAGAGCTCAGTGAAAATATCTCTCTCCTTAGATTATGCTGGGAGATGAAGCTGCCTTGTTAGAGCAAAAGGAGCTGTTGAGTAACTGGTATCATTTCCTAGTGACTCGGCTTCTGTACTCTCATCCCACAGTAAAACCCATTGATCTGCACTTCTACGCCCAGGTGAGTGCCCTCCATGTGAGGAGAAGGGGTGGCTCCCTGACGGGCTTGATATGTGGCTTCTTTGAATTGAACCTCTCAGGTGAAGAGGAAGGCCCTTTTTGAAGGAACCCACCACCCTTCTCCACATTTCCCTATTCAGTAGCCCTGTCTGCCCCTCTGAGTCTCTGCTTCCAACCTGGGGATTAAGTGGGTCATCCCCTTTCCACAGTCCAGCCTGGACCTATTTCTGGGTGATGAGAGCAGCCCAGAACCCCTGGACAACATCTTGATGGCAGCCTTTGAGTTTGACATCCACCAAGTGATCAAGGAGTGCAGGTAGGACTCCTGGCCCCCCACCACTTTAAGTGCTGGTAAGTGTACAATTCAGCACCTGAATACAGAGTTCTGGAGGCTAGGAAGACAAAGATCAAAGTGCTGGCAGGTTTGGAGTCTGCTGAAGGCTGCTCTTTGCTTCTACGGTGGCACCTTGAACACTGCCTCCCCATGTGATGGGAGGTGGAAGGGTAGAAAGGGGACAAACTCTCTTCTTCAAGTCCCTTTATAGAAAGGCATCTAATCCTGTCAGTGGGAGAAGAGCCCTCATGACCTAATCACACCTTAAAGGTCCCACCTTTTGAAACTATTACATTGGCACCAGGAGAATTTTGGAGAAAACACATTCAAATCAGCACCTGCTCCCCTACCTGGCCAGGTGCGTGTAGATAAAGGCTTCACTGGATGAGTTTGGGGACTTTCTGGGGCTTGAGGGCTACCATATTTATAACTTTCCACTTCGGAGATATTGATTTAAAATAACATTGCAGGGGGCAGTACCTGTGGCTCAAAGGAGTAGGGCACCAGCCCCATATGCTGGAGATTTCAGGTTCAAACCCAGCCCCGGCCAAAAACAGTGTAAAAATAAATAAATAAATAAAATAACATTGCAGGTAATGACTTTGATATTTACAATCTAGAAGACTCTAGCAGGCCTGTTTCTGGGCACCTTGTGTATATGCAGCACCATAAGGGATAGCACCTCCCAACAAGCTTACTCCAGTGAGCAAGGGCTGCTGAACCACCAGGCTCCAGGCTGGGAATTTTTAGAAGTCCCTACCCTCTCCCCAAAAGGGTGTTCTATCATTGCATTGAACTTTCAGCAAGGCAGGAAAAAGAGTGTCAAACATTATTAATTGTAGTCACAGCAATTTGGGAGGCTGAGATAGGAGGATCCATTAATGCCAGGAGTTCAGATCTAGCCTGGGCAACATAGCTAGACCTTATCTCTTTATCAACAGCAACAGGAAGAATATCCTCTTCCTAACATGCAGCCTGGACAGTAGGTGTTGTGTTGAAGAAAGTTGGGAATGGCCGCAGATGGGCTTTCTCAAATCCTGCTACCTGCTGCTCTTCTTCTTTGGGCCAAACATACCTCCTAGATTCAAAACACTGATGCTTGATTTGGGGAGGAAAAGATAAGTTTAGTGTCAGTGTTCCTTTCACAAGGCTGTGAATGGTATGGAGACATACATACATAATCATTTGGCTTGTTGGTGTCTCTGCCTGTAGATTCTTCCTGAATCTGCTGTCTGATAACAGCGTTGAGTGCGTTCTACCAGGGCTTTCTAAATAGGCCATTATCTGGATTTTTTTTTTTAATAGACAGAGTTTCATTATGTCACCCTCAGTAGAGTGCCATGGTATCATAGTTCACAGCAACCTCCAGCTCTTGGGCTTAGGCAATTCTCGTGCCTCAGCCTCCCAAGTAGGTGGGACTACAGGCACCTGCCACAACGCCAGGCTATTTTGTTGTTGTTGTTGTTGTTGCATTTTGACTGGGGCTGGGTTTGAACCTGCCACGCTCCATATAAGGGGACAGCGCCCTACTCACTGAGCCACAGGTGCCACTCCCCCTTTCTTTTTATTTATTATTTTAGAGACAGAGTCTTACTTTGTTGCCATTGGTAGAGTGCTATGGCGTTATAGCTCACAGCAACCTCAAACTCTTGGGCTAAAGCGATCTTACCTCAGCCTCCCAAGTAGCTGGGACTACAGGCACCTGCCACAGTGCCTGGCCCTTTTTTTTTTTTTTTTTTTTTTTGAGACAGAGCCTCAAGCTGTCCCTCTGGGTAGAGTGCTGTGGCATCACAGCTCACAGCAACCTCCAACTCCTTGGCTCAAGTGAGTCTCCTGCCTCTGCCTCCCAAGTAGCTGGGACTACAGGTGCCTGCCACAAGGCCTGGCCATTTTTTTGTTGTTGCAGTTGTCATTGTTGTTTAGCAGGCCTGGGCCAGGTTCAAACCTGCCAGCCTCAGTGCACGTGGCTGGCACTGTAACCACTGTGCTACTTACTGGTGCTGAGCTACAAATGACATAATTTTTTTTTTTTTTTAGAGACAGAGTCTCACTTTATCACCCTTGGTAGAGTGCTGTGGTGTCACAGCTCACAGGAACCTCAAACTTTGGGGCTTAAGTGATTCTCTTTCCTCAGCCTCCCAAGTAGCTGGAAGTACAGGTGCCTGCCACAACACCTAGCTCGTTTTTGTTTTTTGTTTTTTTTTTTTAAGAGATGAGGTTTTGCTCTGGTTCAGTCTGGTCTCAAACTGGTGAGCTCCAGCAGTCTACCCACCTCAGCCTCTCTGAATGGTGGGATTATAGGCGCGAGCTATCTCGCCTGGCTGAGATAGTGATCTTATCTCCCACAGGTGAGACTGCTGGATCATATGGTAGTTCTTTTAATATTCTGAAGATCTTCCATACTGTTTTCCAGAATGTCTGCACAGATTTACACTCCCACTAACAGTGTACAAAGGTTGCCTTTTCTCCACACCCTCAGCAGCACATGCTATCTTTTGACATTTTGGTAGTAGCCACCCTAACAGAAGTGATATCACTCCCATCTTTTGAAGCACAGGACGTGTGTGGGGTTTCTGCTCACGGCCTGCTGGTATGGGACCTGGTTTCTGCCCCTGACTCTCCTTCTTACCTTGGTGTCTGAATCTGCAGCATTGCCCTGAGCAATTGGTGGTTTGTGGCCCATCTGACAGACCTGCTGTACCACTGCAGGCTCCTCCAAGCCCACAACCTCTAGTAAGTAGCCCGACAGACTTGTCCTCCTCTCCCCACCACCAAGTTCTCAAAGGTGGGGGTGAACCAAATGCCTGGGAGGGACATTGGGTTGAGGAAGGGGGCCATTGAGTGGACATGGCCAGCAGTCTTGGTCTTATGTTACATTTTATTCTAGTTTTGGTTCCAACATGAGAGAATTCCTCCTGCTGGAATATGCCTCAGGACTGTTTGCTCATCACAGGTAGGAAGGTCCCTATGAATCTGGGTATGCTGGGGTACCATTTGAGTTTGGACTATTCCTCTGGTTCCTCACGTTACAGAGGGGCCAGGGAGGATGAGCCTTAGGTACTGGTCCCAGGGCAACACCTGGGCTCATCACCCCTCATGTGTGTCCTCCTCGGCCACCTGTAGCCTGTGGCAGCTGGGTGTGGATTATTTTGATTACTGCCCTGAGCTGGGCCGAGTTTCCTTGGAGCTGCATATTGAGCGGATTCCTCTGAACACCGAACAGAAAGCCCTCAAGGTGCTGCGGATTTGTGAGCAGCGGCAGATGACTGAACAAGGTGAGCTGGCCCTCTTCCCAGCCTATCTTCTGTGGGATATGGGAGTCAGGAAGCCCTGAGGCCACATTCTTGCCACCTTCTCACCAGCCACACTGGAAAGGCAGGCTGGTGGATGTGAGCAGGTATACCTGACAGGACAGTTGTCAGGGAGGGGCAAGAGAGCACAGGATCTGTTAGGACCAAGAAGAGCTCTAGCATGGTTAGATCACTAACATGATCACTTTTTGAAAAGGCCCCAGGTCACTTCCTCTACTTCCTCCACAAGGTCAGGTTTGGAATCAGTGCTGAGTGTTCCTGTCCCACAGGATGGGTATTCTAGGCTAAGCCTGACTGAGGGGAGGCTTCCGAGCCACCACTTGGTGGCTCCAGAAGAGCACAGGGGAGAGGAACAAGGATAGACCAGTCTCCCCTTCTTTTCTGCTTCCCTGTCAAATGATAAAAACCTGACCTATGATTGCCTAGTGGCAGTCACATGTTTTGACCATCTCTGAAAGCATATGATGTTCAAGACCGAAAGAAGGATAAGGTTTTAGACATCGAGGCAGATAATGGAGAAGCTAGTATGTGGGGAGAAACAAAAATATTTTTGTCAAAAAAAAAATTTTTTTTTTTGTCATCCTTGCAATCACATCTGGCCATATAGCCAGTCCCACTGTGCTGGGTCATGACACTGTTAGCAGAGCCCAAACGCCACTAGTTCTGGTTACCTAGCTGTGTTTAGAGCCCATGGAGAGCTGTGGACAGGTCTGTCCTAACCCTGCAGAGTTCAGGAATGGTTATTTGTGACGTGAAGAGTTCACTTTTTGGCTCGGCGCCTATAGCTCAACCGGCTAAGGCGCCAGCCATGTACACCTAAGGTGGCAGGTTCGAATCCCTAGCCCGGACCCGCCAAACAACAAT